TTTAGTAGCTTCAAGAGTGACAGATTTGCAAGAGGTTGTGGACAGACAATCCAATAGCTATTGGCAATGAAGACACACTCAACTGCTATGTTTTGTAAGGAGGGGTGAAAATCATTTGGAAAAGAATTTGTGGTCAGCCAGGATTTGGACCCAAGCAGTCCATGCAGAATCCAAACCCTTAATCATGGCTGCCACACTGTTATTCTCTGGGGAGGTTATGAACAAGCAGTGTAAAAGGCAAGGGAAGACACCTTGAAAGGCGGTGGGGGAGATGAAGATCCTTCATTTCATGTGCATTCATAATGCAATATGTTTATGATTGCCTGGAACATCTAGAAGAGCCTAAGTTTTTGGAGTCAATGCTGGTTTGGACCTACACTGACCTGAATTTACACTGACCTGAATTTATGATTTACATCAACTATCCCTCCTCACTCTCAGGGAAAAATTTCTTCTAATTTATCAGGAGAAACAACCCATGAAGACAGATACATGACCCAACTTAAGTTAGTCCACTATATGCAGAGCATGCAGCAGCAAGCAAGATGCATTAATAATAATACAGAGCATGATATAAGAAATATAAATGGCTGAGTATAAAGCAACACTTAACTAAGTAAATAATCACTCCTTAACTCTGAGTATCCAAACAACTTCGGTTTGAATAGATATCGGTATATAAAAATTTACTTTCATAAACCTATAATTATTTTAGTCTTCTTAACAATAAAGTAGCATGGTACATAGCACCTAGAAAGAGATCAGATTGGCTAACACCGGACTTAGTGCCTCCCCATAGTGTTATGTTCTTTAAGGTTTGTGATGATCCTTCTTACTTTCCATTATTACTTCTTTTAATTAAAAAAATGTGATAAGGCTTGGGAAAAGCAGTCTTGATTATGTCAACTCCTTCTCTGCAGAATGGGATTAATGAAAATTAATGACCCATTTGTTTTGATATTCTGATGTATTCTGATGTATTCTACGAAAATGTTTTGTGAACCAGAAAGTTCCATATAAATGTTACAGCAGAGCTCCTGGTTAGGTTGTACCCCTCTCTTCTAGACAGAAGGCCTAATAAGAAAACTGGCATTTATTACAGGTCTTCTATGTGCTGTGTTATCTCACTCAACACTATCTTACATAGTGGGTGGTCATATCCCATTTTACATATGAGGTCCATGGAGGTAAAGTAATTTATTTAATATAAGCCACCTATTAAGTGGGCTAGGATTGGAACCCAGGTCTGCAGCTCAAAAACCCAGGTATTCTTAGCACTAGCTTCACACCTACCTTATGGCATAAAAAAGAAAAATGAATGCAGTATTTGTTTTTTACAGAACTGTGAAGGTTCTCATCACCATCCTCATCCTCAAATTCTCAGTTGTTCCAAAGTATCATATAAAATATGTTAAACTTATAAATAAATAAAATCTTTAAAAAAAAAAAAAAAGGGGCGCCTGGGTGGCTCAGTGGGTTAAAGCCTCTGCCTTCAGCTCAGGTCATGATCTCAGGGTCCTGGGATCGAGCCCCGTATCGGGCTCTCTGCTCAGCAGGAAGCCTGCTTCCTCCTCTCTCTCTCTCTGTCTGCCTCTCTGTCTACTTGTGATTTCTGTCTGTCAAATAAATAAATAAAATCTTTAAAAAAAAAAAAATAAAATAAAATATGTTAAACTTTCCCAAAGGGCTAAAACTGGCAGGATGAAACACTCAGTACTGTACTGTGAAATAGAGTTCAAGAAATAAAACAAATTAGACACAGTCAGTTGTTATAAAAGTAAAATAAGACCTCAATTTCCCTGCCTACCAAAGACTGAATCCCTTAGCCCCTATCAGACACAAATAGCCCCAGTGACTTGATTATGATGCAGTAATCCAGAGACAGCCTGGATTTTCTTTCTTCTTTCTTTCTTTCTTTCTTTCTTTCTTTCTTTCTTTCTTTCTTTCAAGCTCCATCTGACATCACTAATAGGATGCAAGCATTATCAATCAGGGGTTAGAACCACCCCTAACTAGCCGCAGGGACAGCAGAAAGGCCACATACTGATTTTTTCTGTGTGTGGTGGAGGCACCAGGCCCGATGGGAAAAAAAAAGGGCATGAACAAAGAGGTCAGAGAAACCTGGGTATGAATTCCAATTCCATCACTCACTTTCTGGTCACCCTGGGCCAGTTCTTAACTTACTTATCTTGAGTAACATTTCTTCACCTTGAAGCATTTGCCTCTGGAATGAATGAAATGATATAGGGAGGCTAATAAGCAGATGTCTGTGAACTCATTTGGCACTCAAGTATGAACAGACTCTGATGACAAAGACAACTCATGAACTCATTCATGTTCATTAGTAATTGCTTTTTCATTTTTTTCTAAACAAATTCAATAGTGGACTAAAGAGGACTAAAAATTCTTACTGTTCTTCCCTTTGAGAATTGGAGTCCAATACCTCTTCCCTCCATGAAAGATGGACTTAGTGACTCCTTTGGCCAATACAGTATGACTGAAGTATTGCTCTTGGGTTTCCCAGCCTAATTCATAACAAGCCTTGTAGGTTTTGCCCTGCCTTATAGCTGTGAGCTGTCATGTAAGAAGTCTGACTACCCTGAAGCCACTTCGCTGAGAAGAAGCCCCACTTTGTCACATGAAAAGGCCTAAGGGAAAAAAGATGTTAGGTGGGCCCTAGGCTGGTCCAGCCTCCAGCCCAGATCCCAGACACTGTGGAGTCTCTACCAACCCCTATCCAAATGGCAGGTGCTTGAGCAATATAAGTGATTGCTGTTGCTTCAAGCTACAAAATTTGGGGGTTGTTTGTTATGCAACAAAATATAACCAGAACACTCTACCAGGATTTTCTCTCAAATTAAAAACTTCAATTTGCTGGGTTACATAAAGTAACATAGTAAGTTTATATTGACCCTGTAGTTCTCAAGTCTCTTTCAGACACTGGAAAAACAAACATATTGTTTGTGGATAGCTCTAATCCAAGTGTAACTTAGTAACTGGCTGAGGAATGACATAGACCAGCTATTGAGTGCCTATGTGTGCCAGAGTTTAAGTTAGCTTGGGTTTTATTAAATACCAAATTCTGTTGAGAAAAAAGTGCTATACATAACGACCCCTCATCTCTAGGAAATTGTGAAAAACACTCCCTGAAGTGAGACTAATTGACCTACAGCCCCAGTGCTTGACCATCCCAGCTCTACAAATCTGGACTCCCACAGCCAGCTACCTAATAACCAGGGTGGTTTAAGAGGCACCACCACCTACCTCCTAACTAGTTGGAATACCTACGCTGGGCTGCTTGCTTTCCAGGCAAGGCTGCAAACAATGAAACTGTTAAGACAGTGATTTATATAGATATCCAGTTAATGTTTGAGCAAAACCCCTTCAGTTTTCACACAGACTCCACTTGGGAGGATGGGCCTCATTAGCATAAGACTTGATCTCTGACTCATGGAATACTTAACCAAAGCCTTTCAAATCTTATAGACTTTGTAACATTACACAAAGTTTGGGGCATACAATCAGCATAGGTGAACTCAACAAACATTTTGCTGCTTCCCTAATCTGCTAAACTCTCTTTCATTTCCTGTTTTTCCTCCTGCAAAGCCTGCTTCCCCTTCTTGGGTAGGGGTAGGGTGCGCGCGCGCTCACGGGCTCGTGTGTGTGTGTGTGTGTGTGTGTGTGTGTGTGTGTGTGTGTGTATGTGTGTGTGTGTGCGCGCGCGCGCGCGCGCGTGTGTGTGTAATCCTATTTAACCTTCAAATGTCCACTCCTCCCATCAAGGCAGACTTAATTATTCAGTGATGACATTGCTTCTTTAATCTATAAAACCTTTTTCCTAACAAGCAAGTTTACCATTAAAAAAGGGCAACAAACCCACAGTTCTATAGGATGCATGGAGAAAAGAACATGAGAGTCCATATAATGTGGTGACATTTCACCAGGCTGAAAACAGGGTGATATGATTTGTGTTTCAGGGATTAGAATTCAGTGGCAGAAATAAGCTAATTAAAACACTTAACCAGAATGCCTTCTATACATAAACTGCTTTGCACTGGGGGTGCAACATAATCTGAACGAATAAATTTTAAGGGGGAACTGGTGATTTGAATCTCAATCTCTTATGTTATTTTCTTGGCAAAAGTTAAAAAGGAACCATCCAGTCTAGGAAAGATAGATCTTCTATATACTTCAGCAAGAACCAGACAAGCAGAATGAACTCCAAGTTTTTCCTGGAATTTTTTCAACTCAGTGGCTTTGGTTTAAACTGATGTGGGCAATGTCTATTGTCCCAAGTGAGTCAACCTGAACATCAAACCCACCAGCTGGTATTGGTTTTGATGTTCATTCAGTAACAATTGCAATCCCAAAGGTTATACAGTCACTCTGCGGCATCTGGAGATTTGTGGCATAACCTCCAAAACACATGAGCAACATGCATGAAGTCATAATCAAACATTTTTCATTCTACCATCAAACCGAAAGAAACCACATTTTTAACACTCATTATTTAAGAACACACATAACTAAGCAGAATACTCTAAGCCAAAGGCTGTACAGTCACCGAATGGTAACAGCTTCTATGTGACAAAATCCAGAAAACACATCTATCATTCCTTCTCCATAAGGAAGCTACAGAAGCTCATACTGTAACATTTTATTCTGCCACAAAACCAGGAGCAATAATGCTTTTGACACTCATCCTTGAATTAACTATTCTTTTTCTTTAATTTTATTTTTTATAAACATATAATATATTTTTATCCCCAGGGGTACAGGTCTGTGAATTGCCAGGAGAATTAACTATTCTTAACCTGCCAATTTAGGATTATTGTAACAGTCTACATTACAACTGATAGCAATAAAATGACTTAATGCTTGATACTTTAAGTATCCAGATGGAGGAGAGCAAAACCTGGTCTTCTTCCAGAAAATGCTTAAGTTTCTGACACTGGACAATTAATGGGTTATATTCTAAAAGAAAAGTGATATCAACTTACTTAATAGTTGGCAATAGAGGGCCTGTAAACTTCTCTTCATGGTATCATCTGGTCCTGCTTGTCCTCCAGTTTATTCATGATTCTGTCTAGGAAATCGGGAAAAGAAAATTGTTACATCTGGTGAACATAATTCAATTCAACAATCAGAAAGAATTCCACTCAACATGATCCTGTTTGTAAAGCCTAAAATCCCTAGCTTTGAAGAGGAAAATCTTGAAGAGGATATACTGTAGTCTAATTTACAACAATCTGTTACATAAATACCAGTTCATCAATTGGTTAAATCCTGAAAACTATACATATACTAAAGAAAACTCATGGGCAACTAGACAGTGAGAGTCTGACTTAGGAACTTTTGAGGACTTCCAATTAACACCCCCTGACTCTCTAGTTTTTAAACCGGAGAAACAAAAAAAAATTCCTAATCTTATTTCCGTTATGGTGTTCAACCAAACAAAACAACCCAAAAAGCTTAACCACACTTGAAATTGTATCATGTTAAATAACTTTTCCATTATTTTCTGGTTATAAAGGATAATCCAGTTCAGAATATTTGGAAAATACAGCTAAATGAAATAGAGATAATATATAAGAAAATACAAATTACCCATCTCTGCAGCCTTTCAATGTGCATTTCGATTGGTCTGTCTCATTTCATCTATTATATTTTTTGTTTTTAAGTAGGCTCTATGCTCAGTGTGGGACTTGAACTTACCACCCTGAGATCAAGAGTCATATACTCTATTTACTGAGCCAGCCAGGTGCCCTCTTTATTGTACATTCTAATTTTTCTTCCTAGTAGAAAAATCTTCTTGTGTTACTATTACTTTACTACTTTATTTTAAATGGCATACAGTATTTCCTTAAGGTTAATTCCTAGAAATGGAATTACAAGGACCCTATTTAAGGCTTTTGAAATATACTACCAAACTACCTTTCATTAGTACTAGTATATGAGGCTATTTATTAGACTACAATCTACCCAATGTTGGAAATTGGTAATTTCTTCATATCTTTCCCAGTACATAGCAAATATTTCATCTCATTGCTTTAGTTTGCATTTTATAAGTTTATTAATCATTTGTCTTTTTAAAATTTTTAGTTCACATTTGACAAAGATTGCTTTTTTTTTTTTGGACATAGATTCTTTACTAAGGTTCCCGAACCGTCTCCTAAGTCCATTCATGAACTTCCTCATAAAGCCTAGTTTTTAGTAAGAACTAGATTAGCAAACTGCTAATCAGTTTGACTAGAACCCTCTACTCTCAATATCTGATCAGGTTCCTTATCCTCCATCAGACACGAGGTGGTAATTACCCTGGCTTGTCTTTAGCAAGAATCTTACTAGATTAGTTTAGCCAGAACCATTTACCCCTGATGTTTCCTTTTAGTAATTTTCTATCCACTGACCGCCCTCCCCTGCCAATCATTGGCTATAAATGGCCACCTCCCCAAGCCGTATTTGGAGTTGAGCCCAATCTCTCTCCCCCACTATAAAATCCCATTGCATTGCTCCCCATACCTATCCTGAATAGAGCCTGACTCACCATCTTTAACAAATGTCACTGAATATCCTTTTCTTTAACACTTTAATGACTCTCTACTGGCATGCTGGGTTATTTTCTCATAATACCTCAAGTAAAACTAATTTATCTTTCAAATGGTTTTGTTAAGATATAATTCATGCATTATAAAATTCAGCCTTTGAAGTATATAATTCAGTGGTCATTAGTATATTCAAGTTGTGTAACCATCAATAAAATGTATAGTTTGTATCTGGCTCTTTTACTCAGCATAATGTTTCTTAGGCCTGTCCATGTTGTAAAACATGCTTCCCCCCCTTTTTATAAGAATGAGAAACAGAAACAAACACACTCACACACAGTCATGGTTAGAGAGGCCTTCCTTAGTTCAGGATTACAAAACCAGTTGCCTGTATTTTCTTTTGATATTTTTATTTATTTTAGATACGTTTCTGGACTTTGTGTTACATTTTACATCTCCGTTTGCTCATTCTCCCACTATAACAATATGTGTTGTTTAAATTAAGCTTTTGGTAAAGTTAGTCCTCCATTACTACTCTTTTAAGATTTATCTTGTTCTCTGAATGTTTTTCCCCTAAACTAACTTTATCATTTTATTAAATTCCGGAAAAAATATCATTGGTATTATAGTTGCAATTATCTTCCACTTGCTTTAAAGACTTGATCACTTCAAAACCAAGTGTGGTGAGGAGAAAGATAACGTTTTAAAAGCTGTAGCTCTGAAGATCAGAAGATTTCTTTTCAGAGAGTAAGAAGTACTTTTTTGGGCTGTATGCACCATAGCTCAATGACTATGTAGAACCCCACCTACCACCCTAAGCGTGATCTAGATGAGGAAGAGGTAGAGGATAAATTTTTTCTCTTTATAATTCTCTAAAATTTTTCTCTTTATAATTTTCTGTAATAAGACTTCAGTTCCAAAAAGCTAGGAAAGACGGGTTAATCAGTCCAGAAATCAGAGGCTGCAGAGATTATACAAGACATGGCGAAAGACAGAAAAAGAGCAATTCCAAAAGAAAGAAGTAGGTGGGACCTAAGAATAAAAGATAACATGAGAAATTCCTTAAAGAGGATGACCCATAAACTTTAAAATGTATAAAAATTTTTATTGCTTGTTTTATTCTGTTTTTACTTATACACTACACCTATTCTCCGCCACAATGCTTTCCCACCACGAGTACCCTCAAAATCTCAGCAAAAGTTTTATGCAAAATAGTCTTGTATTAGTGGTGCTCAGCTGGGCAATGATAGAACAGAGACTACATCTCAAGACAAGGGTGACCAGGAACAGGAAGGTGCCACAGGAGTCCTAAGCAATGGTTAGTGGGCATCTGTGGAGGACTTAGGACATAGTAAGCACTCAATTATAAAGTGAGTAAACATATGAATGAATACATACATGATTAAGTAACAGGAGAGCAGAGAAACAGTTGTTTATATTGATCAAGGGGAATGTAAGCCCCTTAGGCATCTCTAGAAATGCTTAGAGGTTTCTGAGAAACTTAGATTTTTGACAGTATGTGCAATAGAGCCATTTTATTCACATATCAAAGAAACAACTGAGCACAAAAATCTGGGACACCTGGTATATCTGGATTGTACAGGGCTATCCCAACTATAAGCACCATATAGCTTGTATTTATTCAAATTTAATCTTTATTTAGATCTTTTTATGGATTTTGTAGTTTTGTACTGTCTTTCCTTGAGTTCTATAGTTCTGTCAAATTCATTCCCAGGCGCATGTATACACACACACACACATGCACACACACATATATATTTGCCATTGTGATGGAATTTCTGCTTCCATTATATCTTCAAATTGCCTCTATATGAAAATAACTGAGTTTTGTATATTCATTTTGCGACCTAACCAAACTCACTTAGTTCTAATGATGGTTTATCACCTGAGTCTCTTGGATCAGTTGGTCTGCTTTGGACAGACAGAGAGGCACAGTAAGATTCCATCTAAAGCCATTTTTTAACCAGATAGTAGGAAACACTAATTTTATCTGGTCCCTCAGGGAATACTTAGGACCTCCACGAATGACAACAAATTTCTGGGATGAAATTCTAAGAAAGTATAGTTTACAGCCAAGTGGTGGAAGAAAAGTAAGAGAGGATGATGATGAAAATATTTGTCCAAACATGCAGATACAGTGGCACAGGTGGGGGTCTCACTGATTATTAGCCCACAGTAAACAAAGAGGTGCAAGTAACCTGAACCACTCCTTAAAGAAGGTGAGCCTAACAGAATCTTGCCTCTCTCCCCTATGACTTAAATGGAACACACTTACATCTATTCCATTGATTCAGGAAGGGAAATTTCTCTTTCACAGATCACTTAAAATGTTTAATTAGAAATGTCCACGTAGCAGGGAAGAAGTAATAAAGAGCCAAATGAAAAGCTCTTATGTGATATGCAAGTTGACTTGAAATGACAGGTTCCCATAGAGAATAAGGAATAGCTAGGAAAATCCTGGAAAACAACAACATAAAAATTCAACAAAGTAGGGACAGGGTGAAGAGGGACTGCCAGCCCTAGCAGCCATTAAAACATACTCTAAAGCTTCTACATAATAAAAAACTATAAAACCATTTGATATTAACACATGAATAGACCAAATCTTACATGGAAATTTATACAATAAAGGCAGAATATTAAATTAATAGGCAAAATGATGAACTTTTTGAGATACTAGAAGATTATATGGGAAAATGTAAAATTGTACTAACTCCAAATACGAAATACCAGCATAAATTCCAAAGGACCAGATCTTTAAATGGTTAAAAAAAAAAAAAAAAAGTATACAAATACTAGAAAAAAGGGCAAATTCTACTGGGAGTAGAGAAGCTTTGTTAAATCTAAAAGTTTGAAGCAATAGAAAAATATAAACTTTATTACATAAAAAATTACAAAGTAGGGGCACCTGGGTGGCTCAGTGGGTTAAAGCCTCTGCTTTCTGCTCAGGTCATGATCCCAGGGTCCTGGGATTAAGCCCCACTCTCGCTTGGCGGGGAGCCTGCCGCCCCCCCCCCCCCCCGCCTCTCTGCCTGCTGATCTCTGTCAAATAAATAAAAATCTTAAAAAAAAATTACAAAGTAAAAACTATAATATAAATGAAAATACAAATAATATACAAATAAAAAAATACAAATGAAAACCTAGAAAAAATGTTCAGCTTATAAAAAGCAAAGAGTTAATATCCTTAAAATTCACTTATAACCCCCAAATCAATTCTCACACTGCATTAGCAATCATTTGCATACATGCTCAGAATGGGGAAAATTTGAATCGCTCAACACAAAGGCTCCCAGATGAGGTCAAACAAGGCAGTGCTTTGTCATCAACATCTTCCCCTCCCTCTGCTCTTCTTGTTTCAGCTCTCATATGGTGAACAAGTGTCCTTTCCATAGGCAATTTAGTACCATGCTTTTAGCAATTTTTGTGCCTTTTCTTCTTGCTATCTTTGTTTGAAATGGTCCCCAAGCATGGTGCTAAAGCATTGTTCAGTGCTCCTAAGTGCAAGAAAGCATGAGTT